CACAAAGTCTACAAGAAAAAAAAAGATGTAAAAAAGGGTTGTATATAAGGTATGATCTGTGTAACTAGGGATTTGCCTGATCTTGATCGGATGAGTGATCAGAAGCCGGACCCGGAAAATCTCACCTACATCCTGGATCTGTCCTAGAAGATAGAGCGTGTATATTGTTTCTCTGTAAAAGTCATTAATCGTCAGTTTATATAGCGTAAAAATTTGAGCTCTAAATAATATAAAAAAAGATTAATAATTTCTTTTGGTCCCAAAATTTTTTTTAAAATTTTTTAAAAATCATTATCTTCGAATCTAAATTTCATGGCTGCAAAAAAAAAATGGTTAAAATGCGAGAGACACTAGCTCAGGCTAAGCTCAGAGATACAATCGTTCAATTAAATAAAGAGCTATGGCAGCTTAATGCCTCGGAAAATAGAGGAATGAATACCAATGCTGATAGTGAGGACAAAGAAAGAATTCAAGCCGAATTAGAATCATTAAAAACATTAAATAAATTAGAATATCAACAAAAATATCATAAAAAATATAGAAGTCAGCAAAAACAAAAACTCCAACAAGTAGAAAGGTAATGTAAAGAAGCAGGTCTTAACATGCAGCTCACTAGGCCAACAATCGGTCGTCTACGTTTAGAAGAAACACAACTAGGCCTATTAGAAGCCATTTTTCGCATTGTCTCTCCGGATGGGCAGGCAGATAAGGGTCGACATTCAGAGACATTACAATCTGTCAAGACCTTGGATCAACTCCAAGAAGCACTGGAACAAATGAATTATAAATTATCACGCTCCGCCACATACCTTAGACTTATTCCAAAACAGCATAATACCGTAGAGAGAAAACAACATGTTAAAACTATACCAGTGAAGCTTCTAAGGGCACAGAATACAGCAAGAAGGGCGCATGAAGATACCTGATTCTGTACTGCTTTGATAAGAAATATCAAAGAAATGGTGTCAGTATTAGGTCCCAGAAATGTTTTAGTTGTATCCCAAGATGATAAAGTGCGAATACCTCTTGGTTTAGCTGCGGCAAATAAACAAGATTGTAATAAGACCAACAAATTAATTTTATATAAACTAATTTTAAAAAAAAGCAAAATTTACTAATAATAAATAATTTACTTATATAGCACCAATCCTAATGAGGTTAGAATACCGAGTGAAGCTTCCAGATCACAACTGGGTTGTTGCTGAAAGGCATAAACTGATTCCATCAGTTTATGCAATATTAAATGTGGAAGAAGATAAGTATGAAAATTCCAAAGCAGTAACTTATTTAGGTCCAACATTTATAAGAGTCTGTAGTGGTAAACATGACAGCAGTACTGCCTACTCACATGGTAAAGACTTTGATGAACTGATGGTTGAGGAGAAATTGCATGATTATACTAAAATAGATGGCCAGCCTAAATCTGTAATAGTGATACTAAGCGATGGTGGTCCCAATAAGAACCCTCGATACAAAAAGACAATTTAGATGATGATTAAACATTTTGACAAATATGACCTTGATACAATCATTGTGGCATGCTTTGCGCCACATCAGAGTGCATCCAATCCAGTAGAAAGATGAATGGCACCCTTAAGCTATGACTTAGCTGGCATGATCCTCCCACATGATACCTTTGGATCACATTTGGATTCACAGCTAAGAACAGTTGATGAGGAATTAGAAAAACGTAATTTTAAAGTAGCCAGAAATGTTTTGACATCAGTATGGGAAGATACAATTATTGATGGCTATCCGGTTCTTGCTAAGTACGTAAATCCTTCCGAAGAACCCTACTACCTGAGGGAAAAATCAGCAACTTGGATGGAAAATCATGTAATGACTTGCCGTTATATGACTCAAGTCACAAAGCATAATGATCCAAGTTGTTGTAAACCTTTCCGAAGTAGAATTCAGCAGATTCTTCCAAACTGATTTTTCCCACCACCACTCCTTACCCAACAGAAACCTCATAGTATTTGCGCAGCAAGTATGAGTATATTCGATAATACAACTCACTTTAGTGGCTTTCTTTTCTCTGTATTAATGGAAAGAAAGTTAATTCCTCCAGACACGAATCTACATTATCTTTCTTTTGATTGGTATTGCCCAACTGTAAATAAGTCAATCAATGAATATCTCTGCTCTTATTGTAAACGGTATTTCACTTTAAAAGGACTTTGAAATACCATACTCGAGGATGTTCACATAAGCAATCAAATTTACTTGTAAAACCTGATACGGATACTCAAGACTTCCAGGCTAATAATATATCTATTCATAATTATTGGCATAGTGAATTCTTAGTTAGTAATGAAAACTATGAAGCAATATGGGTAGATAAAGAAGTAATACCAAAAAACTTATCAGAAACCTATCATCAAGTGCAAATTCAAGAAGAATTGGTTGCAGACAAAGTATTAATAGTTGATTGGGAAGCATGGACACAGAGTGAATGGACAAATGAAGAGTAAAACTTATTGATATCAGATCTGTTTAAATAAGTAAAACTTATTGATATCAGATCAGTTCAAATGAGTAAAACTTATTGATATCAGATCAGTTTGAGTAATACGTACTATTTTTTACTTATATAGTAATTATATATAACATATTAATGTACATTAAATAGTAATCAACTTGTATTAGTTCTCTGTTTTTCTAAAAGTAAATTATAACAGTAAAGTAGTAAATATCTTATGTGATATTTTTCATCATGTAGTTTGGAATGTCTCAAATAGTTTGCTATATTATAGAAAAAATATAAATAAATTGAAGTTACTTCTTTACCACAAGATCAGGTGTTAAAGTATAAAGTATTTAGTAATCGTATTACATCATTTTGCATAAATTAAAAAATTTGCCTACACCACAAGATGTCAAAGATTACATAATCCATTATGATTGGTCAATTTTAATATAATTAATTTTAATTAGTCAAATAAATCATATAAATATCTTTTTAATATATATCCAATTTTTAGATGCATATCGAAATCTAATCTAACAGCTTTTCTGTTCACGAATTATAACACTTTTTAAGGCCATACAAACTTAATAAATCAGTTCTTATAACATAAAATTTTTAAAAGTGACCCGACTTTTAATTTTATTTTCAAATTTTATATATAAAAAACATATAGATTTTCTAAAAAACTTGCTTGGATAATAAGTATACTTGAAATTTTTTTTTAGTTTTGTAAAATTTGATGGGTTATGAGAACCGATTTATCAAGTTTGTATGGCCTAAACATTTTATATATAAATATTAGATATTTTTTTCTGTTCAATATTACACCAAATTTTAGCGATAGTATAAAGGAAATATTTGCTAGTAAATTTTTTTTTTTCCAAAATATTAAAATTTTTAATCACACCTTATCATCCTCAATTTTTTATGCATCTATGAACAGAAAACTCTAACTTAAGTCTGGCGAATTTGACTGATATTGTAAAATCCTAAAGTTTCTCTTGATGGAGGATTTTATTCTTTAGAATGATGGCATAAACACAAAACTCTTTCTTATGTTGGCGATTTTTGGAATATATATATGCTCAAAAATTTCTCTACGACACAGACCTGCTACAGCATAACATACCTGAGTCATTGTAAACTTTATAGTGGGTATTTTGTATTAGATCCTGGGTTTTGGTCAGTGCCTATGATACTTATTTATGTTTACGATTTAAGCTTGCAAGTATTTGCCTTAAATAGTATTGCCAGGTTGTTTAATTTTGTTGTAGATTGTGCTAATTAAGATCATCTATTGCTCTTTTCAATTTGTAATTTAAACTTATATGCATTTATTTATAAACGGCGCTTTACTAATTTTTACTTTGTATGAGTTTTGGTCTGTAATAAGGAATCCTTTAAATTTGCGATTTGACTCGTAAGTATTTACACTTTACTAGTGCAAAATTGAAATTACTTTATATATACCTTATTAAGAATACGAATATTCGCTTTAAATGAAGTTTTATTATCAGTGTTATCCTAATATAATGGGTATAAAGATTATTTACTGTTCTATTTAAAATTGAGATTCAATTTTACAAGTATTTTATTAGAATAGCACTTCTTGGTCGTTTGTTTCACATGAATTTTGCGAGTATAATAATATCGCTTATTATTCTGTTAAAATGTGATTTAAACTAATAAATATTTACCCTAAATAGCACCTTCCGGGTATTTTCTTTTATATTATCTCAGTACGTATTAATATATCTGATTTAAAATTTGTTAATCAAGCTTATAAGCATTTTCCTTTGAAAGCATCCTCCTAGTCATTTGATTTGTATTATTTTAGTGAATATAAATTTAATTTATTATTCAATTTAAATATGTGACTCAAGCTTTTAGGTTCTAATTTTAATAGTACTTTCCGGGTCATTTAATTTGTATTAACTTAGTACGTAGAAATAAATTAATTGTCATGGCTAATGCTGGAAATGGCTGATGCTAGAAATTAGAGCCTATTCGAAAATAAAATTCTACTGATTGGTGTACTTCTAATTTCCGGTGCCAGACATTTCCAACATCAATTGTGACAATATTATTCTTAAAATTACTCAGGCTTATAAGTTTTACTTTTATATAGTGTTTTCGGAATTCTTTAATTTATTTTGGTTTGGTGAGTATATAAATCATTTTAACTGTTCCATCTAAAATAATAAACCAGGCTTATTTCGTATCTTTTATTAAATAGCTTTTTCGGAGTCATTCGATTAAATTTTCTGGGCATATATCTTGTTCTGTTTGAATAAACTCTTGTTAGCCTTTTAAAAGATATAAGATGGCTATATTTTTCTTAAATTGATCAGATCCCAAACAAATCCGCATAATTCTACATCATTTATATTATTTCAATATCTGACATGTATAAATTACTTTGATACGTTTTTAAAATTTTATTTAAAAAAAGATTAATGACAAATAAATTATAAGTATATCAACTTTTGGTAGTTGGACGCAGTTAGGGAATTGACTCGACAAAAAAAAATTGTTGATTGATAATTGATAGAAAAAATTTTTTTGTATCGAACAAAATTCAATTATGTATGTTTAATCGATTATAATCGATCAAGCATGTAATTTATTTGCTCAAACACACATGATCGACCAATTATTGGGTCAACCATTGATCTATTATATAGTATTTTATAATGATATCCTGTAAAATAAAAGAATTTTTTTAATCAATCAAATTTTTAACTATTTAATCAGTTAACATAATCGATCATTAATTGACTCACCTTTGATTGAGCTTATAATATCATGCTCGATCATCAAGCCTAATTGATCAATGATTAAGGGTTATGTGATCGAGGCAATACACTAGACGCAGTGTATAAAAAAAAAAATTTTTTTTTTGAGATAAAAGTTGCATTTTTTTTTTTTTTGCTTAAGATGTTAATATTTCCCCTTTTGATCCAAGATCATTATCAAAAAGGTCCAAGTTATCACGGTGTTCTTGCAGAGTATATCTGCTAATGCATTTCCTCTATTTCATCAAAAAAATTTAAAGTCAGCATGAAGCTTTTGCAAAATGCATCTACTAATGCTTTTCATCCCGATTCAAAGAAGTCAGCGTAGCTAGTTGGTGTCTACTAAATTATATCCACTTATCAAATGAAATCCACTCAACAACCTTTCATATTCCGTAGCTTTGAATTGGAGTTCCTTGATGAAATTATCATACCTGCCAACGCTTTTCCTTCTTTAATCCAAGTTTATTACTATTAAGGTATTTAAGGTACCCTATGCTTATTTGATTTTTTGTGAGTATCTAAATGTACAGAAAAAGTAAAACTAATTAAAAAGCAAAAATAACAAAAATTAATTAAAATGTCTCTATAAATGATTGTTTGGAAAAAAAGCAAGTAAGTTGACATGATATCTTATAAAAATAGATAAAACTTATAAGCATTTTAATAAAGATCAACATACGTTAGTATCTTGTTCAAAAAGAGCGAACCTATAACATTTTCAAGAAGATTGAACTCATTAATTCTAAAGAAATTAGCTAGTCTAACCTTATTTATTTCAATTATGACACCTTCGTTGGATCTTAGACCCATTATTTCTAAAGAAATTAGCATGCTGTTCTAAGTCTGACCCTTATTTATTTAAATCACACGACATCTTTGTTGGATCTTAGACCCATTAATTCTAAAGAAATTAGCTAGTCTGACCTTATTTATTCCAATTACAATGCCTTCGTTGGATCTTAGACCCATTATTTCTAAAGAAATTAGCGTACTGTTTTAAGTCTGACCCTTATTTATTCCAATCACATGACACCTTTGTTGGATCTTAGACCCATTAATTCTAAAGAAATTAGCTAGTCTGACCTTATTTATTCCAATTATGACGCCTTTGTTGGATCTTAGACCTATATTTATAAAGAAATTAGTGTGCTGTTCTAGTCTGACCCTTATTTATTCCAATCACACGACACCTTCATTGGATCTTAGACCCATTATTTCTAAAGATTAGCTAGTCTGACCTTATTTATTCCAATCACATGACCCTTCGTTGGATCTTAGACCCATTATTTCTAAAGAAATTAGCGTGCTGTTCTAAGTCTGATCCTTATTTATTCCAATCACATGACCCTTTATTGGATCTTAGACCCATTAATTCTAAAAATTAGCTAGTCTGGCCTTATTTATTCCAATTATGATGTCTTCGTTGGATCTTAGACCCATTATTTCTAAAAATTAGCTAGTCTGACTTCACTTATTCCAATTACAATGCCTTTGTTGGATCTTAGACCTATTAATTCTAAATAAATTAGCATGCTGTGCTGTTCTAGTCTGACCTTATTTATTCCAATTACACGACACCTTCATTGGATCTTAAACCATTAATTCTAAAGAAATTAGCTAGTCCGACCTTATTTATTCTAATTACATGACCTTTCGTTAGATCTTAAACCCATTATTTAGCGTGCTGTATTGTTCTAGTCTGATCCAATTACACAACACCTTTGTTGGATCTTAGATCTATATTTATAAAGAAATTAGCTAGTCTGACCTTATTTATTTCAATCACACAACATCTTCATTGGATCTTAGACCTATTAATTCTAAATAAATTAGTGTGCTATTCTAAGTCTGACCTTATTTATTCCAATCACACAACCTTTCTTTGGATCTTAGACCCATTAATTCTAAAGAAATTAGCTAGTCTAACCTTATTTATTCCAATCACACGATGTCTTTGTTGGATTTTAGACCTATATTTATAAAGAAATTAGCGTGCTGTTCTAGTCTGACCCTTATTTATTCCAATCACACAACACCTTCGTTGGATCTTAGACCCATTAATTCTAAAGAAATTAGCTAGTCTGACCTTATTTATTCCAATTATGACGCTTTCGTTGGATCTTAGACCTATATTTATAAAGAAATTAGCGTGCTGCTAGTCTGACCCTTATTTATTCCAATCACACGACACCTTTGTTGAATCTTAGACTTAACACATTACGATTGGACGATCTTCGTTACAAGGTGGTTGATTGCAATTATTAATGCCTCAACGAATATTTATTTATTTCACACCCGTTTGACATATGTAATATTTTTTTTTCTAATTTTCCTGGCCTATATAGTACAGTACGTATGTATTTTGACTATTGTATATATATAGAAGATATACCCTTTATTTTTATACGTTTTTTTATTATTTTACTATATATGGTATATAATAGTATTGGTATTGAGTTTACATAAATTATGGACGTCCCCTTATTGTAATTTTATTGTCTGGGATGTTAATATTCTGGCAGATATGTCCAGGATGTTCCATCCTGGACTGTCTATTGTTTGTGTCCCTGTTCCAACCCAATACTGCTTGTATTCATGTGACTTTTTATATATAGATCAACCAATCAAAATCATGAAATTTGTTTATACAGATCAATTCAAAGAGGTCAAAAAATCAAAAATGCAAAAATATAAAAAACAGTGGTCTTAACCTGTCTTGTTGCATTAATAAAAAATGATTGAAAGGTGATTTTGCTTATAAAATTACTTTTACCCTAACACTAAACTAACTCTAACCCTAATTACAATTATAACTTCAAAAATTATATAGGTACAAGGCTTTAGTGATTCCCTTTATACAGTCAATTGTAATTTTTAAAATACTTTTATTAGTAAAAATCATCACACTATATAAAAATTTTTTTTTGTAATATGTGATCTATTTTTCACCAACTTCTACAGGAAGATCCCAAAATTCCAGGTTAAAAGCTTTGGAACCCTGGTCAAAAGGGCTGGAGTTGATTATTTTGGCCCAAGATCACTAAGAATTTTACTAATGAAACAATAGTCATTCATTAAGTGAGCTGATAATTTACTATAGCCTATAGCTCCTGCTAACTCTAACCCAGCCCTAACCCCAACTCTAACTATGATGCATTCCAGCTATTATAACCCGGAAATTTGAGGATCCTCCTGTAGAAAATATTTTTCACTTTAAACCTACTGTTTTTTAATAAGGAATACAGTAAGATATGGAAGTTCAAGAAACTAGCTAAGAAGTGAATATTTTGAAAGGTTGGGAAGGTGATTCAGCGATTTAAACAAATAGTAAGTGAAATTGTGAAATTTTGTCTTAACTGGATTTGTTTATCTTACAAAAAAAAAAAAAAATACTATTTAGAATTATATACTATTGTATTCTAAAACTTTTTATTGTATTTATTTAGGTTACGAATATAGTTTATAAGTTTATAGATACAAAAAGTTGTAATAGTGGTAGTGTTTAGGATTGTTTGGGTATGCGTAATGTATTGCAAAACTGAATTAAAGCATTTTTTGTAAAATAATATACTTATTGTGAAATAAATAATACAGATATATTATTTCGTTAGATTTAAATTAACGCAATTATTAAACTGAATTAATGTACCATAAAAGCGTCTTTAGAGAGTATTAAAAGTTTATAAGTAATAAACTTTATCCGGGTATAGCCGGTAATCTATCCGAGGTGTGATCGACATTTTTTCTGGGGTATTTTAACAACCAATTAAAATGAACTTCTGCTATGCTAATTCAGACACCCATTTGCAGGTCTTTATATATTATTAACGAGATCGGAAGCAGTTTTGATTCTACTGCGTAATGCTTTTCTCACGGATTCTACCAAGTCAATGACTTCTATTCTCAATATCTCTTTGCGTGCACATTAGACATAGTTATGAAATAGAAAAAAAACACCAAAAAATTTGTGGAATAGAGTGCTTTGGAAGAATTGAATTTATTGATTTTTAAACAAATAGAGCCCATAACTAAAAAGTATTACTGGACAGGTTTTGCTTATTTATCACTGAAAACTCTTAAGAAAGTTCGTAACTCCCGTAGAAAAGTCAAATATGCTGTAATGACAATGGCTAAAAAGCATTATGAATTTGGCATAATAATCATGTAATGGGTAAATCCGGTTGCATTAAGCAACCCTTATAAGATATTGATTGGGATAAAGAAATTGAAAACATATATGATTTATATACGAACTTCCATAGATAATAAAAAAATATATTAAATTTTTTCAGTTGAAGAAAAAGTATTATGTATACTACTATTAATACTATCCAGACTAAAACATAATATGAATAGTTATATGCATAACATTTCTACGCTACGTAATATGCACAATCATTCCTTAATAAATTTTTTCATTCTTGCTCTCTTACTATCTGGTGCATCATCAGCTTCCACCCTATCCTTTAACATACCTATGATCACTTCTATAACTTTCTTAACATCTCGACGAAGATCCGCATCATTTTCCAAAATATCTTCGGCAAGTACAACATGATATTCGGTTTTCAAGCGATAGATTCTTTCTGGAGTATATATGATGAAATACCAATCCGAGGCTAGAATAGAAAAGTTGAAAATTAGCAAAATTTACTCACCTTGTATCTCAAAGTTATATATACCTGTGGTAACAATTCTATATAAATAGTCAAACCCATCATCAAAGGCCATAGACGCTTTCCTTTTTCTCGTATTCGTGTGATAGGAACTTTCAAGTTGCATGATGTTTTGCATAAAACCTGCCGCCAAATCTTTTTGCTTGCCCTGAGTTATAGCTATCAACTTCTCATTGATAACATTTATGATTTTTTTGATGGTATAATCGACACGACCTATTGCTTCGTTATCATCTACTTCGAATTAAAGATCTAGGCTGATCCCTTTATTGGTTAACCTCTTGGCGATGTAAATGGAAGTGTACAATATAGGAGAAATATACTCGCAACACACAGCTTCGTTGCTGGCTGTTGCTGAACCTACAATGCCTATTTTATGTTTTATCTCTGTTATACACTGCTCCAATTCTTCATCATTGTCATCAATTTTCACATCTTCTGGGACGAACAGCAAAATTTTTTTTATATCGTCGCTGTCAATGCCATACTTGCCCAACACCTCTCTCAGGTCTTTCGAGGTTTTGTAGTAGTGACTTGAATCAGTTGAGCTATAACCGGCTAACCGACCCGAACCGAATAAATTTCAGATTACCGGTTGAGGAAATTCTTAATCGGTTAACCTGGTACAGCCGGTTGGCCAGTTGGCGGGATCAATATGGTATGAGAAAATGTCAAATGACGTAGGAAAGTAAAGGATCCGAAAAGTTCTGGCAAGAAAATAAAATGAACATAAAAGACGAGACAAATTGAGAATTTCTGAAGGTAGTATAGAAGCCGGGACTCAAAAAATTTTAGATCATGTGATTTAATAATCATTATATGATCTAATTAAATGGTTCTTATGACTTAAATGCATATATTGTCTATATACATAAAAAGCCTAACTAATAGTATGCAATTAGATAGTACCAACTGTAAAATAAAAAATAGTAAAATATATTTGATTTTTTGATAATGTAAATCACATGATCTGAATTTTTTTGGGGTGGCCCGGTATAGTATAGATATTAATCTTAAAGAAAATTTTTCTTTACTATTTTATAGGATGAATATGAACATAATTTCTGTTTACCGAGTTCCTTGGCAAAATCTGCCAATCTTGACGCAGGTCCACTTTCTAAACCATCTTTCATAAACTTCTCTTTGGTCTTTTTAAGAAAGTCATGGCTAGCCATTTTTCGCTTCTTTATAATTTCCAAGTCATCATCATCAAGCTCCAAGTCTTTTTGCTTACGCAAAAATTCTATAAGCTCATTCTTGTTAAATTTCTTAACAACCTTAGCTAACATGGGAGCATTTTTTTCTTCTGTTGCAGTGACATTAGTGGAAGTGCAAGAAGCTGACGTATTAGTTTCAGACATAAAATAGTAGTACTTTTATAGAGTTATTATCTCGAGGTAAAAAAAAAAAATGTTATGTCCGGAGTGATACTTCTGAAAAAAAGCAATATATTATTAACCAAATGTTAGCCTGGCACCTTACGAAATTTTCCGATCATCGATGATCATCGGATAATTACAGGACATACCTAATCAAACTAAAAACTTTTTTAAGACTTCTAGCAAAGGTTTCTCACTAACTACTTAAACTTTTTCTATACTTCGCAGGATTTAAATAAAAAAAAAAGTTTATTGAATTTGGATTTAGGGTTGTCGAGAAATCTCTGGTAAAGGTTTAAAAAAAACCTTCGATCAGGAAAGCTAAAATCGAGTGAATTTTTTTCTTTAATCGAAGGTTTCTCAGCACCCATATATCCAAATTCAATCGATTTTTTTTATTTTAATTCTATGAATATATAGAATTAAGATAAAAAAATCGATCGAATTCGATCAAGTAAGTGTTGAGTAATCTTCATTCAAAGTTAAAAAAAAATTGCCACAGTTTTTATTTTATAGATATTTAAACTTTGAATGAAAATTACTCGACACTTACCTAATAAAATTCGACCAAAATTTTTTTATTTTAATTCTATGAATCAATAAAATTAAGATTAAAAAAATTTAATAGAATTTAATCAGGCAAGTGACGAGTAATTTTTGTTTACATTTTAAGTATCTATAAAATATAAACTGCGGCAATTTTTTTTTTTTATTAACTTAGAATGAAACACTTACCTAGGGTGTTCTCAAGCGCCTTAATCAATGGGGCAAAAAGTGTCGGGAAATAAAATTTATTTAGCGGAAAATAGTTTAAATTAGTCAAGCGTGTTTATCATTAAAATGAATATGCATAAATTGATAAAGCTTATTATGTAAATATGACATTTTTATTAATAAAAAAGATTGAAATGAATGTGTCATTTAAATCAACAAACTTTTTACAACAAAC